GGAGAGGAAGAGGAAGGAAAACGCGCAGAGAAAGTTCCAGGTGTCCGAGCTTAGGTGGAAAAGTGTAAGCCGAAGGTCGTCGGTGATTGAATCACCCCTCCATTAACCTTGGTCACGATAGTTCACACTAACTCCCTCGTTCACACACACGGACACACACACGGACACACACACACACACACACACACACACACACACACACACACCACACACACAACACACACACACACACACACACATAATTACAGAATCCCACAACCACTTCGTACCTCGTTTTTCCCCGGGGTACTTTTTTCCCCCAGTTTGCGTATCTTTCTTCGTAAAAAAGTCGCACCTCACCTTCTTTCTCGCTCAATCTTCCCTTCTCCTCTCCTTGTTCCGGCTCGGCTCCGGTACCTCCAACACCCTTCTATCCGCCGGGGTATCGGCTCTAGTGTGGACGGAGAGACTGTGTGTGTGGTGTGTGTGTGTGTGTGTGTGTGTGTGTGTGTGTGTGTGTGGTGGTGGTGTGTTGTGGTTGTGTGGTGTGTGTGTGTGTGTGTGTGTGTGTGTGTGTGTGTGTGTGTGTGGTGTGTGTGTGTGTGCGTGTGTGTCCTTTTGTAAGAGTTACTTACCTTGTGTTACAAGGACCGATTTCATCTCAAGACATCACTCAACCGACCTGAATATAAACGGTTTGTGTAAACAAGTGTAAATCATAGAAGTGTTTTCAACAAACATATAACATGGAGGAAAGGAACGAAAAGGACTCGTGGACACACTCACAAAATTCTAGTCCCAAGTATGTGAAAAAGTGGTTTCTAACAAGTTTACGAAGAGGTCCTGGAAATGGGTTAAAAAGGTTACTGGTTTCTTTAATGAGAAAGAGTCGCCCATGGTGACTTTTGACCAAAATAATGACTTTTTCAGAGTGTGGAGAGGAGGGGAGGATGGTGTGGATGGAAAGCTATATGACAAAAAAAAAAAGGTGAGAGGGAAGCGAAACAAGGTCTTGCTCCGTCACTTTGGAGGTGTCGAGATAAGTGAGGGGGAAACAGGAGATGGAGCTGGAATCGTATCTGCAAATAATTCGTAGCATTGGGTTTGAAATACTTTCCAACGTGATATGTCAACAAAGTGTTTCCTTCCTAAAAAATGTCCTTTCACAGTAAATATTCCCACACATACTGTTCGTTTATATACATGTAGTATATTTACATTAGCTTGTCAAAAATCCTCGTCGGTGTCAGGACACATTGTTTCATATAGATTTTAGATATAATAATAGGAGAAGAATGACATTTCAGGGACTATTGTAAAACACATTGGTTTTACCATCAAGTTGGACAATGACTAGTGACTAATGTGAACGCTTTCTTTAGGTCTGTGTCTGGAGCCAGTAAGAGAATGAAACTACAAATCATAGGCCACAATTTAAGGCACTATAAACAAATGGGGGTCAGCTCACAAGTAACCAGAGTAATTGTACAAATAAGGTGCAGTATTGGATCTTCAAACCTGATTTTGTAAAGTTAGTGTGTCGCTGTCAAGTGGTTCATTTATTTAAAAAGGCACATTGCACAGTAATCAACACAAGCACTTTAGTGGAGCTAATTTTCATCTGCAGTCCCTGGCAGGTTGATGTCATTAAAAGACAACATACAAGCAAAAAAACGTGACATCTCTCCAAGTTCTTCTCACATGTTAAACTAAATGTCCTATTTTACACCTCATACAAACAAATGTAAAAGGCTTAATAAGACAGCATTTGTAAACCCTTTAGTTGTAGCCATTATATAAATCTCCAGACATCTGACCCTATAATAAAAACCACAGACTACTGCATCATAACTAATACCCGTCGTGACCCTCGATGTGTAACAAAGTTCTCTCACAATGAGCGCTCAGTCAGCGACCAAGAGAGCAGCAGCGCGTCATCTGCAAAGAGCCACAAAGAGAAAAGAAAAACGGGACGTTGACATTTCACCCCTCGCTCTGTCCTCCGCTCTAATTAGGTTGTGTTGTTGCCTTAACCTGCTGGTCAGCTGATTGAGCGGAGGTGGGGGGGGTTAATGAGGGCAACCCCCGCCTCCCACACAACTCTCTCTAACTTCCAAACGGGCCCACAGAACTCAATAACGCACCATCGACTTGATAAAATACACACACACACACACACACACACACACACACACACACACACACACACACACACACACACAGTTAACTCACACCTCTTGTAAAAAATGCCCAGCATGATACACCCCCCTCTATCACAAGACCCCCTGCCCTCAAGCCCCATTGTTTCCTATCTAACAATAGAAGCCCTCCAAGCCTCCAAAAGAAGCCTTTTGTTCAAATGAAACACTTTAGTGTCGGGCTAAATTGAAGGGGAGGAGGAACAGTTGGTTGGGGGAGGTGGAGGTGGAGTTGGGGGATGTATGTGGAGGAAGTAGCAGGGGGTTATACTGAGTCATTTGCATGTTTTTTCCCATAATTGGCGCTGTTCTGTAGCGCCCTAATTAGCCTTTGATAATGAGTTGATAATGTAACCAATTAGGTCATTCGTCAGCCGAGTCAAGCCGGCGACAAGTTGTTTTTCTCTCCACCTCCCTCCCTCTTTCTCCTCTTCTTCTTCCTGGGTCTTTTCCTCTTGATGTAGCTTGTTAATTAAATCAAATTGTGTGATAGCAGATTCTGCTTTTGTTCCCCAATGAGGGCTTGTACTGTTTCTTGTTAGATACGCTCACACTGGGTTCACTTCCTATCTTCCTCCCTATCTGACGCCGGGCTCGGAGGTATCGCACGTCTTCTGCAATAAGCTCCTTGTTGTCGCTCAGATGAATAATCAACGTTATTAAAGCGTTAAGTCCTCAACACCTATCTGATAGAAGTGTTCAAACACAAGGCTCCTGGATAACAGGTGTGTCAGAAAACAAGTGTGTGTGTGTGTGTGTGTGTGTGTGTGTGTGTGTGTGTGTGTGTGTGTGTGTGTGTGTGTGTGCGCTCATGTCCAGGGATTATGCCGAGTGTCACATTAGTGAAAATGTGTTTTCATGTTTGCGTGCTTGTGCCTATGTGGATTTGTGTCCAGTCTAATTGCCAATATTTGATTTGACTGTTGGTTTTTGGTAAAGGGAAAACCCCCCTAAAACATTTGAGTACCTTTTTACTTTGTTGAACTTTGAATTGCTGGGACAAATGTCTTTAATGTATGTATTTTATATATTGGGGTTGTGACATTTGACCATGTCAAGGGGGTTACAATGAAGCCTTAAGTAATGTTTTGTCATCAAAAGTAATTATCAAGACTCTACGTCAGTCCCTCAAAACCTAAATAAAGTCGACCGTTTGGTGCTGATATTTCACATTCAGGCAAGAAGAAATACATCTTGGAAGAAGTGCAGACAAGTCCACAATCACTCATTAATTAATCTTATCATTTAAGCCTTTTGTAAGATTATACCAGAGCAATATCCCTAATCAACACATAGATAATATTAAAGTAAAATTGCAGTATACAGGTTTCCCTTGAAAAAGAGATCGTTGATCTCAATGGGATTTTCACTTGGTTAAATAAAGGCTACAAACATACAAGATGTGTACATTTTCGAAACTATTACAATTGCGGCCGTAACACTATTCCTCTCATTCCCTGACTTCCACTTCTCTACACTAAATGCATCACATTGTTTACCATTCTCTACTAAATGTATATGGTGTATATACTATACAATTACAAATTAAAGTAAACAAAATAGCTCATAGGATGCTTTTAACAATTCAAGTTAATCACGTGTTTCAGGCTGAAAATGAATTACTCTTAAAAATGTAACATCATTTCCCACAACAGCATGCACCTACTGTATACGTGGAGTCTCTGCGTGGTTCATATGCTGCACTTTTGTTTCTCTAAACAATCTTCTCTGTGCACACAATGTCTAAAGAAAAGTCCAAATCCACACTGAACGTTCACGTGTGTACGTCCCATCGATCCTGACAGCCTGCAAACATCCAGACATGATCCCGTCTAGTAATGTGTGCCAGTTGACCTAATCCCTCATTTATTTCCCAAATATCAGTCAATATCGGCCTCTTAGTGTCCACCATCTCCCCCCCCCCCCCGCACCCCCCCGCCCCCCCCCCCCCTCGCCTCCACTCCCCAAAAATGGCCCACTAAAACGCCCCTCTTTATCAGGCGCTGCAACCCCTAAAGCTCTTATATAAATAAGATTAGTGTCGCGTTTGAGCGTCTGGGAATAAGAGGTGTAATATCTGATGGTTTTATATGCAGTATTATTGTTATCCCTTCTTAGTCGGGCTGATACTCCTCTCTCTCTCTCCCTCGCTTCTCGTTTGTTCATTCGTTTATTCTTTCTCTGGGTCCCTCTCTCCAGATTCAGACAGTATTATGAGGAGCTAAGCTGGAATAAAACGCCCCGGCTTCAAATGTTCATATTGTTCTGTTCTGTATGTCATCCTCTCTCTATCCCTGCTCTCCTTTTCTCTCTCCCCTTGTAGTCAATGCTGCCTTCTCCACGTCTTGTATGTCATGTGTCTCTCTCTCTCTATCATGTCAGCGTAATTCCTCCTCTCCTGTTTTAATCTTCCGTTTGTTATCAATTAGGAAGCCTCACTCATATCTAATTGAGGGGCCATGTCCTCGTTCACAGAATTAGCCACCTCAGTCCTGGGAGCCGATTTAGCTTCTTTTGAGGCCATTTTGTTGTCGGCCATTTTCACATTTCCTCCTAACTCCTCGCCACAGAGGGCAGGCACCGCACTATAATTACCCAATCTGTTCCCATTCATACTCTTCAATTTCAGCACCTCTCTCATTCTCTTATCCTCCCCCCTCTTTCCCTCTCTGCTCCCCACCCTTTTCCTCCAGGGGTACAAAAGCAGGGTAACAATATGGGGGTATTAGGGCCGGGTGCAGGCCCAGCTGGGGGGGCTTTAGCCAGCTGAGGGTTATCCACAGCATCCCTGAGTCATGGCACTGATGTCCTGTGATGTTGCTGAGGCGGAAGACTTTCCTTAACACGCTGTAACCTTTGATGGGCCCTCAGCCCCTGCACTCAGCCCGAGGAAACCCCGCGACTCTGAGGAGCTCCTCGTTGGGAGCCGGGATAAGGGTGTGATTCTCTCTGTTTAATCAATTAGGGACGGTTGGAGAAAATCTGTCGTTTTATCTTTTTTGAATTTAAAATGGTACTTCAGTGTTTCTTTTCCGCACAATGTAAAGTTATATGTATTATTATGTGTTTAAACATAGATTCAAGATTCAAAGGTTTTATTGTCATATGCACAAAGCTACAGTGTAGAAATGGCAATGCAATTCTTCTGACCTGAGCTCCTTCAACAATGAGGTATATCAAACAATATATAATAAAATACAAAAATACAAAATAAACAGTAGAGCAAAAAGTCCATATACATGTCAGTAGAATATGTACAAGAACAGAATATGAAATTAAATAATGTACATTCATCTCAAATAGAGAAGAGATGCTATGCTACATTATAGCTAACAGCTCATTCCCATCTGCAGTCACTGGACAGGTAAACACTTAACAATCAACAAACATTACACATATTATTTCCTAGTGCCCTATTCAGTATATGTTGCGCCTTCACAAGCATTTGGTTTCCTCTCAAAGGCTGCTGGGAGCTGACCAGTCCGTTTTCAGCTGTTGCTGCTGGTTATCGACGGGCTCCGCTGCAGCAGCCGGGGCAACATGCTGACTTTTGTTAAGGGTGTGTTTTTCATTTACTTCACAGCTGATCTTGGGGATTTAAATCAGTGACATTTCTGACACCAGACCAAATGTTATACCGTCATGCTGCTGTTGCTCCAGTTTCTCACACTGACAGCGATCTGTGTTCATCGGTCAGTCCTGGTTCATATCAGGATATCATGGGTTTCTTTTTAGTTATTTTTGGGAACCGCAGTTACAGAATAAAAACAACTGGTCTTAAATACTATTATACATCAATTGAAGAGCCATAGTTTTGCTTTTTTCCCCCCTGTTTCTGTTTGGCGTACAAAATTCAAACACACATAGGGATCTGTTTAAACTAAACCACTTCGACATTATAACAACATTATTATTATGTATTGCATTGATAGATATTAGTATATTGTATCTTGTAGACATGTAATTGAAAAGCTTTCCTTTGTGTATTGCATTGTGGGAGAATAATGCAACAGCTCAAAAATCATTTTTAACATGTTAACTTATATCAAGAAGTTTTCATTTTGTCCACTTTCCCATGTAAGCACACTACGTTCTTTAAATCTGCTTAGAAATAATACGGATTCAGGAGGCGGTGAATGTCTCTTAAGATTTGAATTGAATCTAATTTATTAAAACAACAGTTCGAGAATTCGAAAGGGATTTTAATAGACACATTGACCTTACCCTTGCTTGTAGCCCAGAGCACCTTTGGTAAAAACAGCTGTGTGATGCAGTGTGGATATTAATGTGGCAGCGTTGAGCTTTAAATCATCCACCCTCAGACATCATTTAGCATTATTATCTCTCTTTGTGGCCCTGACAGACTCAAACAGAGAGATACAGAGGAGACACGCTGTTTCCAATATTGTCGGAGGCTGATATAGTAATGTGCTCGGCTGGATATGTTTCTGTGTAAAGAGAGAATACCAGCGTCTCTGAAAGGTGAACAGTCCCTCGCCTCCTCTCCCACTTTTGAAATGTGACAGATAACATCCTACCTAGTTCAAAAAGAGAGAGACGAGGGTATGAGGGGGGAGGGAGGGCTGATTTCAAAGTTTTTGGAGAATCCAGCATTTCATCCAACCGGTGCTCTTTCTGATGTCGGGCTTCAAACGGCTCGTTTCTTTTCTTCTTCTGTCATTTCCTCTTTCTCCCGCCAAAACACCCCCTCCCCACCACCAACCCCTCCAACAAAAAAAAAAAGAAGCTATTGTCATCGGAGCCTAGATTCATTTTAGATTAACGCTCACGTTTCTTTCTTTCTTGCATTTCCCTTCAAAGGACCTCCATTATGTTGCCAGCGATAAAGGCGAGGTGGTGCTCGCGGATGTGGCCAAGAGGAAAGCTAATGAAATCGAGAGCGCAGCGGGCAACGGTAAGGAAATAATCATAATGTCCGACCAAGAGGACGCCAAATGTGACTCGTTATTTCTCCTTACATCTGGAATGAGAGGTGGACTCCTCTGATAACCCCGGTTACTCACCTACGCCGACACATTTTTCAGATATTTAATACCATTTTTATTCTCAGGATCGCACCCTTGTTTTAAAACACAAAGGAGAATTTATTCAGATCATGTTTGACAGAGGTGTGTAATTCATACAACCTGTTGCCTTCTTTAAAGATGATTAAAAGTGAGATACTGAAGTGTAAAAACTCACCTTTAAGAAATCATCTATAGCAGATAGATGTTTCCACATTAAGGTTCCTCATATTTTGAAAGGTTTTCCCCCCCAAATTGCAGGTGGTTCTGAAAAGTCTTTAATATCAGACAAATAAAAATACTTTACACGTGCCCAAAGTTTTAAAACTAAACAGCGAGTGTGAAGGAAAGCCAGCGAAGGCCTTTTTTTTTGTCGTTACTTCAGGCTGGGCTGCTGCCCTTTGACAAACACTCCCGAAAGCACATACCAGAGGGGATCAGGCCGAGTCCCTGATCACACACACACACACACACACACACACACACACACACACACACACACACACACACACACACACACACAATTCCTCACAGAGGCTTCAAGGGCCAACGGGTGAGCAGAACACATTCAAATTTGTGAGGGAACTAGATGAACATGTCTGATGGGTCCTTCATTGGTGCTTAAAACACACCAGAAGGCAGTGTGTGTGTGTGTGTGTGTGTGTGTGTGTGTGTGTGTGTGTGTGTGTGTGTGTGTGTGTGTGTGTGTGTGTGTGTGTGTGTGTGTGTGTGTGTGTGTGTTCACAGACAGCCAAATGAGGCGGGAGAGGTATTTAACTCGGCTGCGTAAGGTCAGACCCCTAAGGCTGAGTGTGTGTGTGTTTGTCGGTGAATGAGAATGAGCGTTTGTGTAACTATGAGGCCTGTTTGCAGTTTCTTTTTTTATAATGTGATGCATAACACGCACACTCCTCCTCATAAGCCTCTTAATTATGTCCTAGATGATTTACCTCCATCACCTGCAGCATGTCCTATCCTTGGACAACAGCGCTGGAGAGAAAGAGAGAGGGAGGAAGGGACAGAAGAGGGGGAAGAAAGAGGAGGGATGACGGCAGGAAAAGAGGGAGGAAAAAAGACAATAACATGCGATTATCATTTTGAAAGACAAAGGAAGAAGACAGGAAATTAAAAAAGAACTAGAATATAATTGAGTAAATTAAGAAATAAATGAAAAGGCAGGATACATGAAAACGGACCTTAGACTATCCGCTGTTATTTGTCTCTTTACTTCTGCCTGTCGACTAAAGTAGACAAAAGTTTAAAAACGAGTTTGGTTCACACAACCTGCCATGACCTTTACAAAGCTGAAAACCCGTGACTATACATGAGTAACTGGCTTACTTTTCAAAACCTTCTGTTACAGCAGACGGACACATTTAGCAGCAGTTTACACCCATGAGTTGGTGGAGACCAAACAGAGATGAAAGTGAGTGAATATTTCACATTCATTAAACGAGAGAAAGGGGTTTCTTCCAGCTCTTGCACAATGTACAAGTGTATTATAAAATGAGTCCCGTTTTTCAGAACATGCTGGAACAAAACCAGCAAATGTCCAAACATCTACACACTTCCACTATAGGCCAGTTCAGAGAGAAAGCTGGTGTGTGTGTGTGTGTGTGTGTGTGTGTGTGTGTGTGTGTGTGTGTGTGTGTGTGTGTGTGTGTGTGTGTGTCTACTGTACAGACAAATAGACAGAGCACATTGACAGCCAGCCGAAAAGACAGTACATAAATAATGAGTGGCGTGCTTCAAGCAGAGAGCTCCAGTGAACAGGTGTCTCGCTTTACACACACACACACACACACACACACACACACACACACACACACACACACACACACACACACACACACACACACACACACACACACACACACACACACATTTAGCCTCTGGCATGGCCGTCTAACCCCTCCAGTATCAGCTCTGGCTCCAAAGAGCACACTATACTTTGACTACATTTCAGAAATAGGAAATGTTAATATTGTACCTGTTTCCACTAAATGTATCAGCCTTATACATTTGGGTATGTTGGCCTTGAGTGAAAAGAACAAATTGCTGTATAATCAAGCTACTAAATAATAAATGTTGTAGTAACACATATCCACAGGCCTCTTAAACATGGCCCTTCAAAACAAAACAACAAATGTTATTTGTTCCCTGATAAATATTTGTTTAGTATTAATTACAAGCTTATTTTGATTATGGTATGTGTGTATTTAATAAATAATTCAGTGCACCTTTACTCCGTAGAAAATTCTGTTGTTATACACACACACACACACACACACACACACACACACACACACACACACACACACACACAACCACACACACACGAGCCACACACACAGCCAC